ATTCCTTGGTAACCGATTAATTTTACACGGTCTTTTACGCAAAAACATTAAATATTTAGCTTTGCTCTAAATGACACCGTTCGGTTTGGGCGAGAACTTTTTGTTCTATGTTATTTTGCTTTAATATATATATATATATATATATATATATATATATATATATATATATATATATATATATATATATATATATATATATATATATATATATATATATATATATATATATATATATATATATATATTGTATTTCAACGCATTGGAGTGGGTTACCAGCATCTCTCGCTGAACAGATATATTTGGCTTTCAGGCACAGAAGAATAAGTCACTGGAGCGCGCTAGAACTTGGAGCGTAGAAGTAGATAGTTTCCCTTTCGGCCTGCGTGCCATGCTTATGCATTTACATTATTGAGGATATTAGTTAGTTAGCCTGTGCACCTGAGTTCTCTAGCTCAGGTGTGGCATAGCACCCCGTACTCTTGTATTATGTTTTGGGATTTAATGAGATTTCACCTTTATTTTATAAGTTTTAAATGTCTTGAAAATCTGGGGTGTTACAGGGGTGGACTTGTTGACCTCGATGCACAACAGACGAACCCACAGTAGGCGGGGATTCAAACGCCTTCGCATCGTTCGCTACAATGAAAACAACGAGATAAAGGTAACGCAACAGACATAAATTATGAAAGAGTATCCAAACACGCCAACAATACCACAAGGCAATTTAAAAAAAAAAAACAAAAAAAAAAAAAAAAAAAAAAAAAAAAAAAAAAAAAAAAACAAACAAACAAACAAACAAACACACGGGCGTTTTTTTTTTTTTTTTTTTAAAAGGTAACTTCATAACAAAAATAAGAAAAACACCGTGTAACAAAAATACTGAATTAATGTTATGTGCACAGACCTAAACACCGTACTGCATAGACTGGAAATGTTAGTCGTATGTTCCTACCGCACACACCATTTTTGCAAAATGCACACACAGTAAGAATAATATAATAAATGTAATAATAGTAATAACTGTAATTTTTAAGAGATTTGTTGGTCGAATCATTTAAACATATACGGTTACTGTTTTATAACCAACACATTTAAACCCTAAAAATTTTAATAACGGAAAAAAAAAAAGTGCGTTGATACGTAAACTATAACCAACATTATATAACAATACTATTAAAACTCTTAAAATTTGTCAAATTAATAAAAAAAACACATTCAAAAAACACAATGTCAAACGCACACACCATGCAATCAACCAGCACACACAGTAAAAATAATAAAATAAAAGTAATAATAGTAATAACTGAAATTCTAACAAGAAATGTTGGTCGACACATTCACACGCATATGCTTACTGGTTTATACCCAACATAGTTAACCCTAACAATGAAATTAAAAGGAAAAAAAAAAATGTACGGTGACAAAAATTACAATCAACATTATATAACAACAATGTTAAAACTCTTAAAATTTGACAAATTTATGAAAAACTTTTTTTTGGTTTGGGAATATTATAATTAGAATTTAAATAGGAAACTAAATTTGATGAGACCTCCCGATGCGGCACTGCATAATTGATTTTAAAACATCACAGCATATCATCCTTTTTAATATAACAAAAAAACAAAAACATATCTACCTGGCTAATAAACACTCCCAAAGTTCAAAAATTAAAAAACAACGAGCAAAAATAATAGCACTTAGAACGTACTGCACATGCCACAAAATCGTACAACGCATACACACACACCCCCGAGAAGCGTATAAATAACCAAAATAGCTAAACGCACAGACTATACACACGCATACACACACACCCCGCCTCACGGCAAGCCCACAACCCCCCCACCACCTACCATATGCTCCAAAGAAAACAACATGAATCCAAAAAAAAAAAAAAAAAAAAAAAAACAAATGTACATACTACACCCCAAAAATGCTAACAATATGAAACCAAACAAAAATAACTTTCTACACAACCCATACTTGAAACCAACCAGTGGATTGCTAACAAGATGGTTAATGCACACGCCGACATGATATAACACACATACCGACTGCTAACCGGAACTTATAAAAAAAAAAAAAAAAAAAAAAAAAAAAACATTACTGAACCATCCCCACCGAAAACCCTAGAAACACAACCCCCATAGACCACAATGGCGACGCACCACACCCAACTACAGACCACCGACCCAGACAGTACCATGCAAAACAAAACAAGCCCCCCGAATCACATACCTGGCCAGAAAAAAAAAACGACCTGTAACAGTCGAAGAAAAACAATCCACCCACACCCACCGGACTTATCTACACAGCAACCACCAGCCACGGCTAAAATAGCCATCCAGAACGACATGCACCACAAAACACACCCCAAATACGCGACACCACAACACATGAACAATACCTGGAACGCCTCCGGAAGACGCCGCCCTCAGCCTATTCCTTTGTGCAAGAACGGACCGCTGTGAAAAATTAGGAAAAGAATGGAAGAAACGAAGAATATGAGCAGTCGCCAAACGCTATGAAAAGATGGAAGAAAACGAAAAGATGAAGAAGCGAATGGAATGGGAAGAGACGGCAAATATATTAAAATCCGATCACGATCATAATTATCACGCATAAGCCCATAAAATCTGCAATTACTTTAATGTAAATAAATATAACCTAATAAAGACACAATTAAAAAGACAAGAACCCCCCCCCCCCCCTCCCCCACACACACACACACACCAAAAATGTATCGCACGTGCCCATAAAGCCTCATCCATCTCATCCGTCCCACACCCCAAATAGACGCACAAGATCAAGCCTCACCATCTTACCTGCCAAAGGTAACCTCACCAGATTCAATATATATATATATATATATATATATATATATATATATATATATATATATATATATATATATATATATATATATATATATATATATATATGGGCGATAAAGTGCAGCCATGTTGTTAGATGTGGTCATATGGTCAATTACATGCCATTAGATTAGATAGATCCAATGAATCACATTAATCAAGATTCTTCTAGTATTTTCGCGCACGTTCTCCTACCCAGCGAACTGCAAGTGTAAACTCGTCATAGGACACCAGAATAAGGGAAATCACATTGTTGTGTGTTTTATTTGTGTAATTGGTGCATTATTAGCCTTACTCTGATGTATTTGTATATTCCCATTGGTGCCAAGTTCAGGTGCGGCAACGCCTTCCCGTGTGGTCAGTGCGACCGCACCAATTGTTATACAAATATACAACATCCATGTTATGAAATGCACAGCAAAAAACATACACAAATTAGGTACGCATCACTAAAAACGCACCATTAGATATGAATAAATACACCATACAGTGTTCGGGAATACACTATTGGTGTGTTTCACTATGGTGTATTTTATTACACTCTTGGTGCATGTTCTCAACACTCTTGGTGTATTCTGGAACCCGGCCGCTATAAATGGCCACTGTAATTACCATAACACCCCCACTTACCAAAACGCGCGAAAATTCTCAGAATTAACCACTGCCGTTAGATTAAACTGATTAAACGACACAGATACGACCACACCGCCACACCTAATGACATGACCACATATGAGCGCTCTTCTATATATATATATATATATATATATATATATATATATATATATATATATATATGCATGCTAAGTTCCCAAATCTACCACTCACAACAAAGTCACTTCATGATGTGGCAAGTTCTAATATGTTTTTTTAAAATTTTTTTTTTTCTTTTTAATTTCGAATGTCAAGCTATTTTAATTTGTCACATCAGGGAGTGACTTTGTTATGAGTGGTAAATGTAGGGGCATATAACATTGTCTATAGTTGACAACCTTTTATGTGTTGCTTGTGAAATAATTCTTTGAGCAATAATTACCTAAAGTCGGAGATGTTGGCATATGTAATTCCATTACACGGTACTCTAGATCTTGCTTCTATTGTTCATGTTTGGTGCAATTTCAACGTTTGATAAACATTGTTGTCCCTTATTCCTTCAAAAAATGAAAATGCAAAAATAAAAAAATTATACAGAAAGTTTTTTTTTTTTTTTATAACAAATTGTTTGTATTATTTTAAATGAGTTAATTCAACCAAAGATCTCTTGTCTTTGGAGATAAAATTTAGTCTCAAACTATCATTTTTTGCCATTTAACATCCCAGACAATTATTGTTTGGACACTTTTAGTCTTTCTCATTACTTTTCTCATTTTTAATAAGGGCATTTTTGTCTCTTCATATTTTACTTTTGTTATTTTTCCAATTTCAATCGGTTTAATTGGTTTAAGACTTTACTAAAATCGATTGAAAAATATAGTTACTACAAATCAGAGGTTACCTAAAGTTCTAACCCAATTAAACCGGTTGAAATCGGAAAATTAATTAACTAAAGAAAAATATGAAAAGAGAAATACACCCTTACTAAAAATAGGAAAAATCATGAGAAGGACTAAATATGTCCAAAAATTAATAGTCTGACAATGTTAAATGACAAAAACAATAGTATGAAACTAAATTTAAATTTACCACCAAAGACAAGGGACCTCAGATCGAATTTACTCTATCTTAAATTGTTCATTAGTCGTACCTCAAATATTACCACCCAAAAAATGGATATATTTCTTGTAAGAAGATGTGCATCTCTACTCAGATCACCCTCCTTCTCATCCTCTCTCTCTCTCTCTCTCTCTCTCTCTCATCTCCAACCAAAAACCCTCAAACAAAAATAGAAAGAGAAACAACCAGCTACCCACTCCATCCTTTTCCCAATTGATCAATAATTCCAAGAATTCCATTTACTCCATCCTCGTCTCGTCCCGTAAGAAATTTCTTGATGTGTTAATTGCCATGCCGCCTTGGTTTGCATGGCATTCTCATTCTCGGATTCTGTTATATATTCCAGGGTTTCAATTTTGCTTCATGCATGCATCTTTCTTTCATGTAATTGTTCTTTAGATGATCCTCGATAGCAGAGAATTGAAGCGGGCATTGAGGGTTAATTGATACGATATATATATATATACATTAATAGGATGTCTCAACCAATTAAGCCTCTGAAAAAGCCACCAGGCTACAGAAGAGAACCTTCGATCATCCAAATGCCGCTGGAGGTACCGGAGCTTGTGGCGTATCCGCGACTTCCGAAGCACGCGCCGCCGCCCTACCCTCAACGGCGAAGGCGCAGGAATTGCTGCTGCATGTGTTGTTGCTATTTCATCCTTTTCCTCATATCCCTCATCCTCTTGTTGATCCTGTGCGGGGCCATTTTCTTCCTGTGGTTCCACCCCAAGCTGCCGGTTTTCCGCCTCACCTCCCTTGATTTCACCAAATTCGCCGTCACCAACTCCCCCGACGGCGCCTCCGCCACCTTGAACGCCCAAGGCACCCTCGGGGTGGAGATGAAGAACCCCAACAAGCGGCTGAAAATGGTGTACGGGCGGACGAAGCTGGAATTGAGAGGCGCCCGCCGCAGTGAGGACTTGCGCCTCGGGAAGGGCAGCGTGGGCGGTTTCGTGCAGAAACCGGGGAATGTGAGGGAGTTGAAGGTGAGGATTCGGTCTAAGGAGGAGTTGTTTGGGAAGAGTGCAAGAAATGTGGGGTACAGATTCAAGAGGAAGAAGCTGAAGGTGAACGCTGAAGTGAAGACACGAATTGGAATAGGTTTCTCGGGGGGTTGGCGCGCCGGCCCCATTAAGGTCACCGTGCGCTGTAAAGGTCTCAGCTTGAAACACATTTCCGATGGCACCTCCCGGAAATGTCACGTTAAACTGCTCAACTTGTATGATTCTTCAATTTATCTATCATTATTCTTAATTCACTACTGGAAATTATGGAATTTCCGACCACCTGAAAGCAAAAAGTGGTCGAAAATAACAATAAAAGTTTTTCCGGATACCAAAAGTGGTCGGAACAGGTCGAAAATTCCATAATTTCCAACCGTGATTGTATCTTTATTAATGTACGTACTTATTAGCTGTTGGACTGTCTTAACTGATAACGCAAACTTGTTTGATTATTGCATTGCAGGTTTTATATAAGCTGACGGATTATTACCAATTCAATCCAGCTTCAGATCAAAATCACAAATTAGTTCTTATGTGCATATATAGAACAACTCTAGTGTGTTATAGGTAGGCCAGAAGGTAGCAGGCCAGAAAGCCGAGGTTGGGCTCGCATAGACTTAACTTACTGGTTCGGTAGGTAGTATTTAAGAGAAGATCAGATACCAAGGTTAAAAACTAGATAGTGGCGGTGTGAAATTTACCACCCCTTCCCACATATTCTGTCAGGCCAGAGTGTAGAAGGCCCTTGGAATTGGGATTCAACATTTTGGAAGAAGAAACATAGTTTGTTTTCGGAGTGAATTTTCATAGAAATATATGAAATGTTTTACAGCACAAGATCAATTAGTACGACAGGCATGCTATCCATTTTCAGATTCTTGTGAATTTGTTTGTAGCAAAATTTAATCATGGAGTAATTTAGTCGGGCTGGCTTAGCTTGTAGATAAGTTGGGTTGTAATATAATATATTAATATGTTTGATCTGATATCCTTTTAGTGAGTGTTTGCCAATCTCTATTGTGAAAACCAATTTGCACCTAAAATAAAAAATAAAAAAATCATGTGATGCAAACTCGATTGTCATTATATGAAACCTATATATTGAAATGGAAAATGCACGTCCTGTAGGTTTAAAACAATGTTTCAAATAAACTAATTTGTTAACTTATCATCATAATCTTTTATACTTATTGATTGTTAACTTCAAAATTTGCATTTCAAAGTTAGAGATATTTATAAAAATGACACTGCATTTGTCCTAAATTGATTCGAAAGTACATAAATATATATTACCAAGTCAAATCTGTGGTATTATTGGGCACACTACGGTCACCTGTTACAATCGCTAGCTACTCCAGTGATGCTTCTCCTCAGGCTCATTTAACATACCAGGATTGTGCTCATAATGTCAATCCTGGCTCTCATACGTGGTTTCCTAACACTAGGGAAACCAATCATGTTACTCCAAATATAGCTGCCCTATCTAATTGAGGAGTATGTTGGTAATGACACTCTTCGTGTAGGTGACGGTATGAGTTTATCTATTAGTCGTATTGGTCATGCTTCCTTTAATACCACGTCTAGGTCCTTTAGAATGTCTAATATTTTGCATGTTCCTGGTTTGTCTATGTCCTATTATCTGTTTAACGTTTTGCTACAGAGTACAATGTGTTTTTTGAGTTTCACCCCTCTTTATTTATTCTTTATTGTGAAAGATATCATCACCAAAGCAATTCTATTTCGAGGCAATAGTTTTGGTGGATTATACAAATTACCTGTTTCACGTTCAACTCCCTCTGTGTTTCTCTCTACTTGTGCTTCTACTCCAGTTTGGCACGATCGGTTGGGTCATCCACATCAGCGTGTTCTTAGTCGTATTCTTCAGTCCTGTTCGGTTAGTGGGTCTAGTCGTGCTATTCGTTGTACTTCTAGTTTGTGTTCTGCGTGTCAATTGGGCAAATTTGCGCGTTTCCCTTTACCATGTATTGAGTCTACTATTTGGAATATTCTTGATTTAATCTACATTGATATTTTGGGGCTAACTCCTTTGTTATCCTCTAGTGGTTATCGTTATTTTGTTATCTTTGTGGATGATTATTCTCGTTACACCTGGTATTTTCCTATGAAATTAAAATCTGATCTTTATGCCATCTTTGATCTTTTTCGTGATGTGGTTGAGCGTTCCTTCAATCGTAAAATAAAATCCATTCAATCTGATCTAGGAGCTGAGTATAAGAAATTGGATTCCTTATTTTTGCAACTAGGCATTAATCATAGACAGTCATGTGCATACACTCATGAGCAAAACGGACGCGTTGAAAGGAGACATAGACATATTGTTGAGACTGGGCTAACTCTTATGGCTCATGCCTCTATTCCGCCTCGATTTTGGAATTTTGCTTTTGAGACTGTTGTTTATCTGATTAATAGAATGCCATCAAGTGTCTTGAATAATTCCAATCATCATCTTATATTGCATAAGTCTCCTCCGTCATATTCCTTTCTTCGTGTTTTTGGTTACTTACGTTATCCTCACTTAAGGCCATATAATCATCATAAAATGTCCTACAAGTCCTCTCCTTGTGTCTTCCTAGGTTATCTTGAATCTTTTCGGGGGTATAGGTGCATGGACTTACAGACTATTAAGATATATGTTTGTAGGTATATGCCGTTTGATGAGGCAATTTTTCCCTTTGCTACTAAGACTATTTTGCAGGTACCATCGGCTACATAGCCTCATCCTTGGGTTGAATCTGTCTTGCAGTCGTGCCATGAGATATCCACCACAATAGTCACAGATTCATCACTCCTTGTACATCCGACTTCATCTGTCTTTGTTGCGGCTGCCACATGTGGTCATGCTTCAAGACCAAAGACGAGGACTCATGCCATAACTAATAGGGGTCAGTCTCATCCTCCTCCTACGGTTTTGACTGCACAGGTTTTTCCTTCTAAGCCCACGTTTTATACATAGTCAGTCAAATATCCCGAGTGACGTGAGGCGATGGATCAAGAATTCGATGTTCTACTACATAATCAAACCTGAAGTCTTATTCCTCCTCGTTCGGATATGAATGTCATTGGTTGTAAATGAGTTTTTCGCACGAAGAGGAAAGCTGAAGGTTCAATTGAGAGCCACAAAGCCAAGTTAGTAGCAAAAGGATTCAATCAGGTTCCTGGTCGGGATTTCTTTGATACATTCATCCCGGTGGTTAAATCCACTACTGTCAGGTTACTCTTATCCTTAGCTTTATCTTCTGGTTGGATCATTAGACAGTTTGATGTCCATAATGGTTTTTTGAATGACAATTTAACTGAAACTGTCTATATGTGTCAGCCGCTTGGATATATTGATACACAGTTTCCTGATCATGTCTATCTTTTAAAACGTTCTTTGTAGGCCTAAAACAGGCTCTTAGAGCTTGGTTTAATCGCATGCATACGTTTTTGTTGTTAGTTGGATTTAGGGCTTCAAAGACAGATGTGTTATTATTATATTATTCACAGGATTCTGTGTTTGTGTATCTGTTGGTTTATGTTGATGATATACTTGTGTTGGAGAGTGATTAGAATCTAGTGAATGTGTTACTGTCTAAATTGTCTACTGCATTCAAGATTAGGGATCTTGGTGAACCTGGTTTTTTCCTTGGAATTGAAGTAGTTAAATGTGATATGATGGTATATTGCTTTCTCAAAAAAGATATATGACATATATTTTAAAACGTGATGGCATGACAAATTATAAACCACTAGCCACTCATATTCCTATTTCAAAATCTATTCCTCCCAGTGCAGATTTGTATGATGATCCTACACAGTACAAGATCTCGGATGGGGCGCTGCAATACCTCACAGTCACACGGCTTGATTTGTCTTTTCCAGTGATTCAACCCTGTCAACATATGCATACTCCTACAGTTTCACATTGGGCTCAATTGAAGCGAGTATTGAGGTATGTTAAGGGGACTAGTACTTGTGGTCTACATATAAGAAAGTTAGTGACAAATGATCTACATGTTTTTTCTGATTATGATTGGGTTGGCTGTCCTGAAGATCGTAAGTCAGTTATGCTATGTTTCTTGGGCACAATCTTGTATCTTGGGGTTGTAAGAAACAAAGAACGGTAGCTAGATCTTCTATTGAGGCTGAATATAAAGCTCTAGCTGATGTCTGTGCTGAAGTAATTTGGATTTTATTGTTGTTGCGTGAAATCAATGTTCCAAATATTCTTGTTCCCAAACTATGGTGTGATAATCTTGGTGCTACATATATGTGTGCAAATCCAATCTTCCATGCACGCACCAAACATGTGGAGATTAATTACCATTTTGTTTGAGACATGGTTGCTTATGGAGGTATTCAAGTCAATTTTATTTCAACTAAAAATCAACTTGCTGATATTTTTACTAAAGTTCTGTCTGGTCTTAGATTTTCTTTTCTTAGAGACAAGCTACATGTTACTAGTTTACCCTGTGCTTGAGGGAGAGTATTAGTGTAACAACCCAAAATTTCATTTTATAAATCCAGTATTAAGAAATCCCAAAGTAGCTTTTTCACTCCATTAAAATTTTTTTGCGATCAATCGGTGTTTGAATAAAATAATTTTGTCGTATTTTAAAATTAATTCGACACCGAAGAAATGTATTCCTTTCGAAAATCCCTAAGTTTTCGGGTACTTCGCGTACCAAGATTTAAATCGAGAATTTTATCTGAGTGAGACCAGGAGAATTCAAAAAAGGATTTTTGAACAAGTGTTCATCCATATAGCTTTTGAGAAAATTCACTTTAAACCCCAAAGTAATAAAAGATAACATTTCTAGCCTATGGTTCATGTTACATGGTGGACCACAAGACATCCAAAATCCCTTATTGATTCATCTTTTAGCTTGGGAAATTACCCCTTTGCCCTCAACCAATCATTGTGAATCATCCTAGGGTTTTGAACCCTATATAAATCCCCTTATTCCATCTCATTTTCCTTATCTCATTCTTGCATCTTCCTCACCAAGTTTTCTACCAAGAACAAGGAGAAAAACAACAACCTTGTAAGCTTGTCATCCTTCATTCTAGCCTCTTTTCTCTTCTAGTTTTCTATAGTCTTTGAGGTTCTAGGCTAAGGATAGAAGGTGTGTTGGGAAGTGTAGGTGGTGAAGGAGGCTCAAGCTAGGTCAAGAGGAAGAAGAGATCCAAGCAAGAAGATTAGACTACAAGAGGTATAACCCCCTGGATTCCTCTTCAAATTTGGCTCTGTGAAGCCTAGTTTTGAGTACAAATGATTAGAAACTATGAGTTTTTGATGTGTTTATGCTTAGAGGTGATTTAGTATGTGTTTGTGAGTTGTTGAGATTATTTTGGACTTGTTTTGGATGAGATTTTGCAGGAGAAATGCCATCTGGTGCACAACACAGTGTGCACCAGATCAGAGTGGCGGCCCTAGCCGTGGCCCATCAGAAGGGCGGTCGGCTAGAGCCGTGGTGGCACGGGACTAGGGCACGGTTCTAGAGAAGGGCCGTTGCCTAGTCCCGGTGCATCAACGGGGATCCAGGGCCGGACCATGAAGAGTCCCGCCGCAGGTCCCTAAGTATTGTCTGTGAAGGATTTTTTTGCAGTGGCCGCGCCCTTGTGGCTCAGCTACGTGTCGTTTCGGACCGAGTGTTACGGGCCCTTGTGGCTCGGCTCTACGGGATCGTCTCGACGCACATTTTGGCTTTGATTTCGTTGAATTTGGATTAAAAACAAGTATGATATGAATGATTATGTGAAGAATTGCTACACATTGCAATTTACTAATTTTACTGTGTATGAAGAATTATTTGATTATTGTGATCTGATGATATTTTATTGAGTAAAGAAGCATGATCCTTTGAGAATATGATTTATTATGAAAGCATGATTAAATTGTATTATTTGATCAATGAGAATAGAATCATATTTGTTGAGTGAAATGTATAGAAATTGCTACGTTGCAAACCGAGCATGATGATA